GAATATCCTAGAGTGCCTGTTTGGTTTGCATGATCTTGGCAAGATTAAATCCTAGTACATGTTCGCATCGTCAGAGCTCAGGTTCCCTCCTCTAGGGGGAAACTGGGTGTCAAAGTTACCTGTGGTGATTGGTATCCGCCAATTAAGGCGACAGTGGACAGTTAAAATGTGGAAAATTGACTAAAATAACGAAATACATTTTTTGACTTATTTTAATATTATATTAGCCTCTCTATCAAACGCAAAAAAAATTTGGTTTCATGCATTTTTTATTGAGTTATGGTGTAGTTCCGATTCAGTCATCCATGACCACGCCCCTTTGTTTACATTCTGATGTCATGCTGACAAAGCTGTCATGTACTTTGACAGTATGAATTTTATTTACTGTAGACATAATTCTCTAATTTTTATTTTTAAATGTTAATTTATCAAGGTCTGGATGGCAACAGTTTGTTTTAACTGTATCTGAGACCTAAATCGGCATTATTTGTTTACAATTCGTTCGAACTTGCGTTTGCATTTTTCGTTCAATTTTATTCAAACTTTATATTGATTTTACCAAAACAAAAAGTTCTTTTCAGAACTAAGGTTCATTTTAAATTGCCTTTGTTATTTAAATTTTTTATAATGGATCTTATATCATCGAGATATCGAAAACCTAAAGGTCGTCCTACCAAAAGGAGAAAGATGTTGACTGAAAATAGCAAGAAGCGATGGCAGAAATCTTCTAAAAATGTTCATGAAAAAAACAGTAATAGTATGGTATTGCAGAGAGATACATTATCTGAACCGAGTACATCTTCCCAACCTGAGGCAAGCTATATTTTCACCCACAAGGCTGTGTTTTCTGAACTATTGCAGAAAGTTCCTTGTAAATATTGTACAAACTGTACCCTTGTTATAAAACAACACCATTCCATGGGGTATTCTATAAAGATGGAACTCTTTCATGCGAATCATGTCATGAAAGCTACGGAAGTGTTTTTTCAAGTTTCCAAGAAGAGGCCAAAAATTCACATGATATAAACAGCAAACTGGTGAGTGCCTTCCTATCCATAGGCAGAGGGCATGCTGCTCTAGAAACGTTTTCATCTGTGCTCAACATGCCAACAATGGACCGGAAAAACATTTGCCGAATGCATGCACAACTTATCCGTGAAAAACAAAGAGGTGAAGAAAAAATGCTCGAAATATCACGTCAAGCTGCTAGAGAAGCTCGCGTAAAAGTTGATGCTTCTCTAAAAAATCAAGAAATAATTTATGTGAGTGTGTCATATGACGGTACTTGGCAAAAGCGAGAACATACATCTAACCTAGGATTAGGAATAATCATCGATATCCTTAGTGGACTTGTCCTTGACTTTGAAGTATTGTCGAAATACTGTCAGAATTGTGTAGTTGCTGGTCGAGATCTGGGAGTCGATAGTGCGGAGTTTCACATATGGCAAAAATGACATGCGGATGAGTGTGACAAAAATTTTGATGGAACTTCTGGAGCCATGGAGATGCACGCTGCACTAATTATGTGGAGGCGGTCAATTAGTGATTGCCAAATGAGATTCGTTTCCATGCTGAGTGATGGTGACTCAAAAACTTTTCAATTTTTGTCGGAAAATAAAATATATGGTTCTGATATAAAAATCGAAAAGGAAGAGTGCCTGAATCATATTGCAAAGAGGCTAGGTACATCGTTACGTAACAAAGCGAAAGAATGGAAGGTGAAAAAAGTGACTCTTGGTGGGCGTAAGCAGGGAAGCCTTACAGATAAAAACATCACAAAGTTGCAAAATTACTATAGAAAGGCAATAAAAGATAATGTCCCTGATACCGATAAAATGAAAACTGCAATATATGCCAGCCTGATGCATTGCTCGTCAACTGACAAAAAGCCTATGCATGGTAAGTGTCCTGAAGGAAAATCATCATGGTGTTTCTATAAAAGAGCTATAGCCAAAGGTGAAACCCCAGGGTCACACAGTTCCATGAGAACTTACTTGTCGCCACAAGTAGTGGAGAAAATTATGCCTGTTTATCAACGTTTAGCTTCAGACACCATTCTTGAAAGATGCGTAGCAGGCAAGACGCAAAATTCGAATGAAAGTCTGCATAGATGCACTTGGCGAAAATGCCCAAAAGAGGTATTCGTCTCCAAAAGGACGCTGGAAATAGCAGTAACGGATGCCATCGAAAAGCACAATTTGGGCTAGGTGAAATCTCTTGAAGCGAAAGAGGACTCATGCCTAAATGACAGTTTTTGACTATTGCAGAAAGACAAGATAAACGAGACGCATTTCTCAAAATATTTCTACGAAACAAATGAAAAGGAAAAGAAATGCCACGAATACAAATGCAGCCTATAGTGCCGGTGCTTTTTAATTTTTTTTTATCAGACTTAGCAAACAGTTTTCTTGTTATGTGTAATTAGATTTGTTATTTTTTGAATTTTTGTAATTTAATTGTATTGAAATACTTTATTTTTACTTAATGTGATTAATGAAATATATAATATATTATCTGGTTGATGAAATAATAATGAAATACATTCTGTTAATTTACTTTAGATTTTATTGGAATGTTCTTGCTTACTTCAATTTTTATCACTATATATATTACATGTCAATGTGACTGTTACAATAAATATTGCAGAATCTTATATATATATACTATGTTTATCTTATCTTTATGATATTAGTGTTTTTCAAATTTATATGAATGTCTTTAATTGTTTTTTAAAAAACTAAGTTTTTCCTTTAGAATAAAAATAGCTGTTTTTCTAAAAATGAAAGCTTCCTCGAAAACATTGAATTTTTGTAACTTAATCCCTTTGAAATACTTTATTTTTACTCATTATGATTAATGAAATATATAATATACTATCTGGTTGAGATAAAACAATGAAATACATTCTGCTAATTTACTTCAGATATTATAAGAAAGTTCTAGCTTACTTCAGTTTTTATCACTGTATATACCACGTGTCAATGTGACTGTTACAATAAATATTGCAGAGAATTTTATGTATATATATTCTGCATCCATCTTATATTTGTATGATATTAGTGTTTTTCAATTTCAAATTCATATCTTTAATTTTTTTTTTAAAAAATAAGTTAATTTCCTTTAAAATAAAAAAAAGCTGTTTTTCTCAGAATCAAAAATTTGCCTCGAAACCAAAACTCAAAAGGTTCCATGCGTTGCAATTTTTGTCGAATTAAAACAAAACTTTCCAAAAGTATTCATCTAATGTATACTTATAAATTCTTGGATGCATTGTAGTAATAGTGATAGGGTGAAAGAAGAAATTAAAGTTTTTTATGTAGGAAATCATTAAAATTCTTGAAATTTTTATATAAAAATTTGCGTTTACCCATATTTTGTAAATTATCATATAAAACATTACATTGCATGCATAAATTTGTAAAGAATTGCTTAAAGAAGTTAAATCAGGTGAAAATATGAACTTTTAAACAAAATCAAAACACATGGAACGTTTTGAAATTTTTAAAATTTCGTTAAACTTTTTTTTTAATTTTAAATTTCTTAAAAACTAATCATTTTTTTCACCAATTTTTTTATATGGTTTTAGTTCTAAGTTACATACAGCCAGTAAACATTTGGGGCATGTTTGTAAAAAATTAAAAAACATTTTTTTTTACTGTCCACTGTAGCCTTAAGTGCCACCTTTAAAAGAGATATCAGCTTCCGGGGAATGTCTGCTGCAATGGTAAAACACCAATCCGCAGCCCATTAGAAAACAAAAGCTTGTAATATTACATCTATTTTTATACAGAAAAAATTGAGTATAATGAGCTAATTAAATCTAGTTCCAAATGTAATAATCATATGCACCCAACTGTTTTTTTACTCATACACGATTTTAAAATAAAACGGTACATAAATCTAATTTTTTTTTACACGAACTTATTTTCTAGCATTAATTCCAAAAAAATTTTGGGATTCAGGCCATTTGGATGAGGACGGTTTAACCGAATTTATAGCAAAAAAGTTCGATAATGTCAAAGGGAGGGTTCAGCTATTAACTGATTGAGTTCTCGAGGGCTTTAAATTTACTACAAGTATAGAGCAACATTTTCATACTTATGATTCTGACATAGAGCATGCATTAAACTTCACGTAATCATAAGTTTTGTGTTGCAGGATATCAAGAATTATATAAGTAACTTGAAAAATTTAAAAACAGTCACTAGTAACACATTTTGTACCGAATTAAAAAAAAGAAGCCTGAAGCCGTTAGCAACGAACGAAATTTTTACCTTCAATCAAAACCGATAGTAACTCTAGATACATCTACTGATGGCAAATAGTAATTATTTTTTATCCAGTTCGTAAAAAATGTACACGCTTGTTAGCAAGTAGAGATGCATAGTTGTTAGTGGCTTTATTCCTAATTTCAATTTGAATTTTTATACGTTGAATGTACTTAGACTAAATTTTTCCTGTAAACTCATTTTAATTTTTTTATAACAAGTAATATATGTGTGTAAAAAATAAATAAAAATTAATGTAAATTGCTACTTAGGTCAAAAAAGAAAATTTTTATTTTTGTTATTTTTTATTAAATAATTACAATATGTATATATATATATATATATATATATATATATATATATATATATATATATATATATAGTATAATAAAATAAAAGTGAAGTACTAGAACCTACAGTGCTAAAGAAGTAAGAAATTGGAATTAAGCAGACAACATATGTAGATACAAAAAAAATCTTTGGACAAAACTGGAAACCTATTATGATTTCTAAAGCTATCATTGACTTAGGCCAGCAAATTAGGGTTAGCAATGCTTTGTGGATCCAACCTTCCCCGTACAGTAGAAATTTTCTATATATAACAGAATCACATTATTAAGAGACTGAATAGAAAGCGATTTTCCATTTTCATTTCTGTATAAGATGTTGGACTATTATTTTTGTTTGTTACTATTTATTCACCCATAAAATAGTACAGTAAAAGGAAATTACATTCTCAGTAATTAGGTGGGATTCGAACCCACGACCTTTGGATTAGAAGTCCAACGCACTACCTACTGTGCTACAGAGACACAACGAGCGATTTTCCTTTTTAAATATGGTGTTGGACTATTACTTTTGTTTGTTATTAATTATTTATTAATTAATGAATTAATATTTAAAAAAACTGTATTAACATCAAGTGTCATCCAATACAAGTTTTAAAAATGTATTTGAACTTGAATGGATGAATGGAAAGTATATATTTTATTAATGATTGAAAATTTTAACTATATATATATATATAGGGAGAGTGTTAATTAATAGTACGAATTGAATATAAAAATGAATTATTTTTGTTTTAAATTAGTAGCATGGATTTTATTATTCCTTTTTTTGCACGGTTTTTTGAGAAAATACTTCGTTTTTTCATCTTACACGATTTTCTAAAGTTGTGGAACATATCTCCAAATTTACCACACGTCGCATGTATTTTTTACACGATTATTTTTTGCATGGTTTTCTAAGGAAAATATCTACCATGGGAAAAAACAAAGAGTTGATTGTATATTACAGCAGGACACACGCCAATGTTATATAACTATTTCCATATAAAAACCATATATCGTTTTGATGAATATATGTACTATATAAACAGTTCATAAATAAAATACTTAATTAGATCTTGTCAGAAAATAGAAGAAAGTTTAAGCTATAAATAAGAATTACTTGAAAGTTCTGAAGTTGAAGAAAAACAACGCCTTTAGATTCATGATAAATTATGTCACAAAATCTTAAGCCAGTGGAAAAACATTAACCAACTTTATGCTAAAGAAAAAAAACTATTAATTTTCTTCCTGGCTAATAAATAATAAACTTAATAATAAAAAATGTCCCTCTATCTCTATTATCTATGAAGAGCATTTTTATTTCAGGAGCTTTAAAATTAAGTAGCAGTTTCTAATTTATTCCCTGTCACGTACGTAAAACTTAAACTTACTTTTAAAAGCAAGTGCCTTTTGTATAATGTTTAAGTAGAGATTAGAACGGGACAGCTTTATCATGGATAAATTTTGGAAAAAAATAATATCTAGATGCACTTTTAGAGTCGCTTCTTCATATTTTTTTTATTCTATTGAATGCAAGAAAATGTAGCTACTGAAAAAATGTTACTTCTAACAATATTATCGTTTTCTTTTAGCACTTTCTCTAACTACGCAACATTTCATTCTTTTAATGAAATTAGAAGTATATTTAATTAAATTTGTCTCATTAACTTTGTCAGTCAGACAACTTCAGTGGATTCATTAGTTCCAATAAGGAAATATTCTTTGGAGTACATGTGAAATGCCTTTGATGAACGCAATGCATGCTATATTTCAGGAAAACATTATATTGCATGGAATATGCTGTAATTTTAATGCTCTAAATTATTTGATCATTTTGTCGTATCTTAACATTTGTTCAATTTTTTGAAATAATATCCTTGTTTTACTTTATTATTTAGTAATTGTTTCCGTTTTTTAAGACCTTGATTCGCCGTTTATATTTCTGATTACTCCATTAATTTCTCCAATAATTTAATAGATACTTATGCATTATATCATCGATCAGTTTCGTCAAATCAAAAGGTGTCGCCAAATGCCACGATATTCAGCCAATAGTGGAAATCGTCCCCGCACATTTTTGAATGCAATAATAACGATGACAACATTTGGTAACATTTTTTTAATTGGCTATGTGTTTTTTGATTCGGCGAAATAGCTTGACGTTTTAAATTGAAGCCCTATTTTACGCGTTGTTATTAATTTTTCGTTAATCAGAAATTTTCTCATTCATATTTATTTTACATAAATAAAAACTTTCTCTTCCCCTAATTAGTTCTACCTTATATCTTTCATAATATATACTCATCATATACTTCAAACTACTTATATTATTATTCAACATATTTCATTGAATTTAGGAAAACAAAAAAATGACTTACTATATCTAAATAATTTTATTCACAATATATTATCGCTGCAAAAGCTAATGGCAAGTACTCTTCAACTTTTGTTAACAAATTATTATTAACAAAGTATTAGTGATGAATACAGGAGCGATGGATTTTTTTTTTCTCGAGCCATGATGAAACATGAGATTGATATATGTATTGTTATTTTATTAAATAAGCATCAAAACTGTGTTCTAAGAATTTAGAGGTTAATTGATTTGAATTAAATGTCCCTCTACAACTGTACGGAAGTTATTAGCTACGAACTTCATGTTCGAACTATTATGAAGTGTTGGGGGATGACATTTAAGCTGGTACCTGACTGTTATTTCACACCATGGCCAAATGAAGACTGTGGAATTAGGTCTAAAATTTCATTGAAAATTTGTACACTACGTTATCGCTGCTATATTAGGACTTTGAAATCCATGGGCAGCATTCCAATATTATCTTCGGATTAAAGAATTCAGAATATTAAAATAAGTTTGTACGGTTATAAACCATCCATCCATCCATCATACTGTGTTTTTAAAAATTTTGTATATATATATATATATATATATATATATATATATATATATATATATATATATATATATATATACATATATATATACATATATATATATATATATATATATAATTTTTTCCCTTTAAATATATTTAGAATTAAAACATTACAACAGTGAATCATTGACAATAATTTATACCCGAAAACAAAAATCATTGATTGAAAACAGTGGCGCACACAGGAATTTTTCAAGGAGGGGGTCCGGGGTCGAAAGTTCACCATTCTTGTGTCATGCTCCTTTTGATTTTGTCGATTTTCGGGAACAAAACACAGTAAAAAACTAATTATTGAATACATAATTAGCATTAATTTGTAAAAATAATCATTAATAACAAATACTTAATTAAATTTTACGTACTATATACATAGAATTATAATCAATCGGAAAAAAATTAAGGGCTTGGGGGGGGTCTGCCCCCTTGTGTGCGCCACTGATTGAAAAATAAGTGAATATTAAAATAAATAATGTTCTTTTATAGGACAGGATATTCAGATGATTTGAAAAATGCAAGGGCCCATATTTGGTCAAAATGTGCCAATGAAAAAATAAATGAATGTGTCGTGTTAATAGAGTTCTTATCTTTAATTTAGACAACAGGAAAAAAAAATGTTTCCTAAGAAGAATGATGGGAAAAGAACGCTAAAGAATCTCACGTAAAGTACTCACGTATGCTCAAGACCAGGGTTGGGCAGACTTTTCCAGGGTACGGGCTACTTCTTATGTTTTTAAGGTGTTGCGGTTCATCCAACGGCGTTAGGTGTAGCCATTCTGAGTTCACAAGAACCCAATCCCGCAGAAGCGCGTGAAGAGCTAGCTGATCATCAACGCTTATTCTCTCCTTCAGTCGCCGCATGGGGAATTTTTCCACTACAGTGGCAGTGAACGTGTTAAGGGTCATCGTTTGCTTCCAACGAAGGTAAGTGTGTCATCTACACATTTATCGAATCATTTGCTTAAGTAAACACAGTCACATCGATTATAAAAAGACGATTCTAAAATCTAGCTGGCCTCAGTGTTCCATAAATAGGTTCCTTTTAGTAAGTGTGTCTTAGTCCTTGTAAAGAGGTTACCCAAAAATGTCTTCGTGGTCCACCGGTCGATCGCGATCGACTTAATGCTTATTTTGCTCAAGACAATAAACTGCGGGACGAGTGGTAAGATCATTTGTATACCTCAGGGTCGTAAACCACATGTTCATGTAAAGAAGGTTAACGAAAAGTACAATATTGAGTGACGAACTAACCATTGTACTTTCGAGGTTCCCCTTCATTTTTTAAAATTAATTTCAATCTGTGTTCAATAACGAATTCGGTATTTAGTTCTTAGAAAATCTACGCCAAATAATGAATGGATTTTTATTTATCACCACTTTATTTGGTTGGCTCAAAGGAAACTTAGCTTTGCTTAAGAACATTTTATATGTGAAACAATTTTCCAAAAGATAGTTTTTCGCGTATTTTTTCAAGAGTTGAGTTACGAATATAATATGTATACTTTTACTGTAAGGAAACAGTTTAAAGTTATAAGTTTAAGGTACACAGTAGAAAATTACTACAAGTTTGAAAAGAATTAAATTTTTCAGTATAACCATAATCGAGATGAGTATGAAAATAGTAGATTGGGTTTGGTTGTGTAGTTTCATATCAAATAGTAAAAAGAAAAAAAATCCCAATATATTCAAGTTTTTTTTAATCTATAACACGTAAAAGAACAAGGAAAACTAAATATGAATCTTAACAGAGAGCTTAAATATTAGAAGTAATTTCGAAAAATGATTTAAAATGGAAGAGCTTGTGTGTCAGAAGTTATTCATGAGTATGCGATCTTGTATGATATATAGTTGCTTTTTTCAGAAAATTCAAATAAAATGGGTGAGCAAAAATTGCCAATTTTATTCGTGTATTCAAATTTTTGTATTGTAAATAAAAGAGGAAAAATACAACAAATAAAGCACATAAAATCATATTACTATTTATATTTGTTAAAGCTATTTTTCAGAATTAACTATGTGCTTATGAATTTTAAAAGTTGCTATTATATATTCTGAACAAATCCAGTTAATCAATTTAAAACATTTACTGAAAATTTTTTTGAATTAAAAATTTAATCAAGACATTGCGGAAAATTTATTCAAAATGAAAACAATTATTTAATTTACTTTAGTTCATTAAAAAAATACCACCAACATATACATTAAATATGTATATACGGTGAACTGTTTTAAATATAAACAGGATGAAAAAATTAACTGATAATAGAACTAGATGTTAGAAAACTGTTTTAAAGTACGTCATTAAATATATTTATAAACTTTGCTAACTTTATTCAGCATATTCATTATGAATGCTTAAAGTGTTTATGCAAGAAAAAAGAATATGAAAAATAACGATGTTTAAATTCTTGACAAACTTATACGCATATAAAATACTCCCAGGATTAATTAATTTTTTCACTTTTTTCATTATAATAATTTAATATTTAATGCTCTTCTTTTTTGGCAACATCAGACATCATTTTCCAACGG